TTTTAAACAACAATTCGTAAATCTTTCATCACAGGTGATCCTCGCTGCTGCCGTGTGCGCTGTGGCCTTCGGTGCCCCCAGGGCCTCACACTTAGCTGCCTCCGAAGCCTCAGTCCCGTCTGACCACAATACCACAGTTGTGCCCATCCTTGAGGACGAGCGCACAAACGACAACAATGGAACGTTTACCGTCAACGTGAAGACTGGCAACGGTATCGCCATATCCGGGTCTGGCTCTCCCTCCGGTACTAACGGTTCTGTGGTCCAGACTGGAGAATTTTCGTGAGTAATAATAATAATAATACAAATAATAATAAAAATAAAATTATACTTATTTTATGTAATTTTAGTAATATGTGTAGTTACAAAAATAGTTAATATCTTATGTCTCCTCCGGTAGCTACACTGCCCCTGACGGCACTCCAGTCACGGTGAAGTTCGTTGCTGATGAGAATGGCTTCCAGCCCCAGTCCAACATGATACCGGTGGCTCCTGCCTTCCCCCACCCAATCGCCCAGTTTGTGCTGGACCAGATCGCCTTCGCCGCAAAGGAAGACGCTGCTCCCTCCTTAGCCTTCGCTGAGGCCGTCTTTGAGAACCCAGCTTCCTTGTCATAGACCTTCACCCAACACCTGCAGCTGCTGCTGCTGCTCCTTGGTGTTACTCAGCTGAAACTATAACTTTCGTAACTGTATTACTTGTATTTATTTTACTTTTAATTTTATTGGAAAAATGATGCCTAATAAAATAATATTCATTTATATATATGTTTTATTATCTGTTGTCCTCAACTTTTTAGAACGTTCATTAAAACATTGTCAAATAATTATTACACTGTGCATTTGAAAGTCCCGGAAGTACAGTCGCGTTTGTTCTCGACTCACACTGGAAAATTCAGGGTTCGAGTTTCGAGCGGGACAGAAATGATTAGGCGTGTTTCCTATTACCTATTGTCTCAGGTTATCCAGCAGTAAAAATGTACCCAGGAGTTAGCTTGTTGTGGGGTTGCATACGGGGAAGGGTCAGTAGTTCGTCCTTGATGCGGATGGCGATATAACCCTAATAATTATATATGCACTGGCTGTCTAACCCCCCCCCCCTAACACAATCAATAATTATTGTTGGTATTACACAGAGTAATAACACTAACGTGATGTGTCAATGAGAAAATCCGTAGGAGCCCTGATGCATGGAAACACCTATAGCATAGGTTCGAACCCTCATCACGGCTCCTATGGATTTCTCATTATAATTATTATATCTTATTATTGTTATTTTATTTAATGTATTCAGTGTAACGAAGGACCTGTAACACCTAAGTACTGTAATTTCCATATGTATGACTAGAAGCTAATTCTGATTAATTCTTTCTTTCCTGGAGTCGCTTTTTTTCTAATGAGGTTAAATTATGCATAGAGAGGGAGAGACATTCTTATTGTTCTCTCTGATTGTTCTCTCCCTTTCTCACTGTTAGTGTTGAATCATTAGTGTTATGCCTCAAGATTGCTTCTCTTCGTCTATTCCAGTATTTCCATTAATTATTGTAGCTTTCAAAAATTCCGCGTTCTGTAATTCCTCTTTATTTTGTCATGCATTAATAGCAAAATAGTTAGTTTGACGTGTAATGCTAATGGTCGAATTTTTAACGTAATAATAACCCTTTTGCTCTTAACTGTTTTAGGGCAAAGAGGGAAATTTCAAGTTCATTTGCCTTATGCATAACATCAGTGATATCGTGCGCAGTCTTATTTAATTTCTAGTCGCCAGAGACATATTCCTCCTAGACTTCTACTACCAAGTTAAAGATGTACCTCGATTGTGCAACAGTTTCAGCTGTCTTATATATTATTAAACTCAGTATAACAAAAATAATGATAATAATATGAATCATAATAATAAAACGTAATAAATCATAATTTATACACTTCAACAACGTAAATATTTGAATGTATTATAATTTAATTATAACCATGTATTATAATTCAATGGCTAATACCACACGAAGGCATTCAATAAGGGTATAAAATTTCCGCATTGCAACAGATAACTGGACTGAAAAATGTGCAGCTGTACCTTGCATACTCAAAAAACTTTATGTGACTTGTAAAGAATTAAGATAAATGTAACAACAATGATATTAATATATTATTTAAGAAATTTTATTATAAATATTACTTTAGCAATATATTGTTGTCAATGAATAAGGTAAATGTACATGATTTGTATAGCCGTGACATTTACAATAACAAAGTTAATGTTAAAATTCATGCAGATATACCAACATGGAACGGTAATAATACTGAACAAATAGAAATAACTTCTTCAACTTATCAAAAACAGTTATAATTGAACTACTAACGACATTAATATTTATATTTAAGAATGTCCCAGAAATAAATTTCATTTTTTTGTTCTTGAGTACATGGAATCAAAATATGTATTAATATCATTGGTTACTAAGTTTTGACACTACATTTCAAGTCTGACTAGTTACGGTCAATGATTTACATATGCTTAAATCAAGACAGTGACATCACATCTCCCAAAAATGTACAACAATTAAACTGAAAATCTTTCGGGAGCAAACAATTAAAGTCGATTAAATTAAAAGAAATGAGTGCGTTGTTTGGCTTATACATAACAATCTTCACTGAATCGTTAATCATGCTCTTAAATACATTTGCGTTCTTGTGTTAAGTTACCGTTATCTCATTATCGTCCTTTTTTAAAAACTCTAAAACTGTTCAAATTTTTAAATGTTAATGATAGATTTTTTCTCCAAGAAAATCCTTTCGTTTCTTAGATATCAAACAACGGCCGATATTAAGACAAAAACTGAACGCAATAATCAAGAGTTGGATGTTCAGAATAGGTGTCGAAGGTAACTTTTAAAATCTGCGAGAGGAACCCAAGTCTACAATCTATAATAAATAATCTTTAAATGAGTAATAAAATCCTGTGGATAATTTTGCTCCTCAGTTAACTCTCAAATTATTCGCTGTATTATTACTAGTATGTACTTCTCTTTATTTACTTCCATCAGCTACACGACGTTTTATAAATATTAGGCCTTTTCACTTGGAGCTTATATATAAGATTCTTTACATTTGTCAACAGAAACAAGCTTGGAATTCACTTGTTCACGTTACATAGCTGTAAACCCTGGTATGAGGGCCTTGTTCCGTTATTCATTTTCACCAGCGAGTTCTTATTATGTGCAACAAATCAGTTATAGATGACATATTCATAAATCGAGAATGACATCGGTTCTGAAACGTGTTCATGTCTCTCCGGTACCGAGATTGGCCGTTGTGGCATTCAGGTAACGAGATTGGCCGCTGTGCTTAATGCTATTCTTACTTTCTACAGCCTAGTTAAACTATTAGCATTGCATTTTCTTCCTGCGTCTAGGACACCTAACACAATTTATAAATATCATGGGAAAGAACCAAGACATTGTGACTTTATAACATTTTCATGGGGTCAGGATAAGGTTTTAGGATGGGACGTGGGGAAGGAATGGTGCCCAACCACTAGGACGGTCGAGGATTGAACACCGACCTGCATGAAATAAGACTCTCCCGTCCAGTCAAAGCGGGGGGCTTAACACCAGCTTTCCGCCATGCTTCACCAATCCAGATGGTTTACATGGGTATTTGCGATGAGGCTGAAGCATATGAGAATGTGTTGCATGATCTGAACTGCAGAAAACCCATAGTGCAACGTACAAGGCACGACAAAAATATTAAATGGAGCCTCTGTACAGACCAGTGTCTATTAGAGAACTCTGTTGTCCGATGTCCGGGGATTTTTTTGTCTCTGTTGATTGTCCAGATTGGATTATACTTTGCCGCTGACACTAACATTAATTTCACTCTTCTACTTGTCAAGCCAATGATGCTTCTTCCACAGGAAATGACTTTGTCCATTAAATACATGGAACAAGACCTTTGTCCAACTCGGATCAGAGACGTATGGCTCTGGGGTAAAATCGCATGAGGTTTATTATGGAATTTAGGTTCCAAGCAGATCCAAACTACAAGAGTCTCTAGGACTGCGGCGTTATGTTCCTGTTTCTCATTGTGTGTATAAAGAGAGAAAATATCCACTGCATCCTCAGGTCCCGTTACGACATCTGAGGAGATCGAAGAAATCTACAACATATCATCCTTTTCTATTTGTATTTTTATTTTTGAAAATAATAGATTTTGTATGATAAAATACTTAACAAAGTACATAACTCTGATTAGTGTTAACAGAGAAGAAAAAAATATACAAATGAATAGTTGGGAACCGACATAATTTCCTCGAAAGTTATTATGCCATTTATCCTTTCCCCAAAGTTAGGGATTCTCACAAATCGAGCCACACTAGGACCTTATGCGACCAGATGAATTGTGTTTTCGCTGTTATCTCTGTTCAGTTTAACTTGCAACGCCTGTGAAGAGGAGCAACATTATTATTCAAAAGGATTTAAAATTTATTCCCCTCCAATTTCTTTATTTCCTTCATCTCTTTCATATTAACTAGACACCTCAGTAGTATGACTAATACCATTTCATTCATAAGGATCATTGTCGGTTCGATCATGGGCCCAGAGTTTGTGACCACCGTCCTACCACGGATGCTCTGATCTAACTAAAGAAGAAATTCAGAGGAACCAAACTGGTACTTGTCTGAGACTTAAAACGGTAGTCTAATTATCGGGAAGGGCACAGACTGCTCGTCACCTATGTGAATACAAATAGCCTCGATTGATTAATGTTTTTATTATTTGTACGACTCGAACTCCAAGGATTTTTCCTATAGGGTAATCAAATATTCTCAAGCAAAGCCTAATACGCCTTCTGGAAGCTACTGCGATGCATAATTTAATTGAAATAGAGATCTCATAGCAGGTAGAGCTGAATGGTAACAATGTCACTACCAAGGGCGTACTTTCTCGAGTGTATATAAACTCCGTTAGATTAAGTGTTAGTACCAGTCTCGCAGAAACCACCATGATGAAGTTTGTAAGTACTTCGCACTCTTCACATAGGCGGAGGATTTTTCCTTTTTATCATTCATTCTTTGTTTTAATAATTCAAAGTTCATGAGCAAAATGTTAAATTTGTTATCTGAATTTCGTGATAATAATACTGAAGTCGAATGTATGCATGTTTAAGTGTGTGTTAACTCATGTACGTTCTGTGTTCACAATTCTTTTTTTTAAAAACATCAATCCGTAAATCTTCCGTCACAGGTGATCCTAGCTGCTGCCGTGTGCGCTGTGGCCTTCGGTGCCCCCAGGGCCTCACACTTAGCTGCCCCCGAAGCCTCAGTTCCGTCTGACCACAATACCACAGTTGTGCCCATCCTTGAGGACAAGCGCACAAACGACAACAATGGAACGTTTACCGTCAACGTGAAGACTGGCAACGGTATCACCATGTCCAGTTCTGGCTCTCCCTCCGGTACTAACGGTTCTGTGGTCCAGACTGGAGAATTTTCGTGAGTAATAATAATAATACTACTACTACTACTACTACTAGTAATAATAATAATAATAATAATAATAACAATAATAATGATAATAATAATAATAATAATAATAATAATAATAATAATAATAATAATAATAATAATAATAATAATAATAATAATATATTACCTAAATAAATTAATATTTAGTAATATATGCATTTACAAAAATAGTTAATATTTCATGTCTTTTCCGGCAGCTACACTGCCCCTGACGGCACCCCAGTCACAGTGAAGTTCATCGCTGATGAGAACGGCTTCCAGCCCCAGTCCAACATGATGCCGGTGGCTCCTGCCTTCCCCCACCCAATCGCCCAGTTTGTACTGGACCAGATCGCCTTCGCCGCTAAGGAAGACTCTGCTCGCTCTTAGGCCCTCGCTGAGGCCATCTTTGAGAACCCAGCTTCCTTATCCTAGACCTCTACCCAATATCTGCAGCAGCTGTTGCTGTTGCTCTCTGGTGTTACTCAGCTGTGATTAAACTGGCGATAACCTTTGTAACTGTATTATTTTTATTTATTTTACTTTTAATTTTATTTAAAAAATGACGCCTAATAAAATAATATTAAATTATCTATGTGTTTTATTATCTGTTAGCTTCTACTGTTTAGAACGTTCAATAAAACAATCACATATTTATTACACTGTGCATTTGAAGGTCCCGGAAGTACAGTCGCGCTTGTTCTCGACTCACAAAGGAAAATTCCGGGTTCGAGTCTCGGGTGGGACATAAATTATTAAGCGTGTTTCCTATTACTTATTGCCTCTAATTTATCCAGCAGTAAAGAGGTACCCAGGAGTTAGCTTGTTGTGGGGTTGCATACGGGGAAGGGTCAGTAGTTCGTCCTTGATGGGGATGGCGATATAACCCTAATAATTATATATGCACTGTCTGTCTAACCCCCCTCCGACACAATCAATAATGTTTATTATTATTACACAAAGTAGTCACACTTACGTGACGTGTCAATGAGAAAATCAGTAGGAGCCTGATGCTTGGAAACACCCACCACATAGGTTCGAACCTTCATCACAGTTCCTATGAATTTTCTCATTATTATTATTATTATTATTATTATAAATATATATTCAGTATAACCAAGGACCTGTAGCACCTAAGTATTGTTATTTCCATATATATGTCTAAAACGTAATTCTGATTACTTGTTTCTTTCTAGGAGAAGCTCCTCTTTTAAAAAGGTTAATTATGCATAGAGAAGTAGGAACATTTTTAAGTTTGAGCTCTCCACTCCCACTTTTAGTGTTAAATCATTATGGTAATGCCGCAAAATTGCTTCTCTTCGTTTCCCCATTATTTCTATTAATTATTATGGCTTTCAGAAATTCTGCGTTCCGCAATTCCTTTTACTTTTGTCATGCATTATTAGCAAAAGAATTTGTTTGACGTGTAATGCTAATAGTTGTCATTTTTACGTAATATTAACCCTTTCCAATGTTAACTGTTTTGCGGCATAGTAGAGAACTTCAAGTTCATTTGCCTTGTGCATAACATAAGTGATATCGTGCTCAGTCTTATTTCATGTCTAGTAGCCAGAGACTTGTTCCTCCTGGACTACTTCTGCCAAGTTAAAGATGTACCTCGATTGTGCAACATTTTCAGCGGTCTGATATATTATTATATTCATAATACGAAAAACAATAATAATAATATATATCATAATAATAAACCTTAATAAATCCTAGTATACACACTTCGACAATGTTAAATTTTAATGTATTGTAATTGAATTATAACAATGTATTATAATTGAATGGTTAATACCACAGAGAAGCATTCAATAAGATTTTAAAATTTCCGCATTGCTACAGATAACTAAACTAAATAAACGTGCAGCAGTACTTTGCATACTCCAAAAACATTTAGTGGCATGTACAAAATTATGATGAAATTAACAGCACTGATAATGATAATAAAATATTATTTAATAAGCTTTTTTACAAACATTACTTTAGCAATATATAGTTGTCAATGGATAAGGTCAATGTACATTATCTCTACAGCCGTTAGATTTATAATAACAAAGATGATGTCAAAATTAGTGAAGATATTCCGACATGGAACGGTAATAAGATTGAACAAATAAATATAACATCTTCAACTTATCAACAACAGTAATAATTTAACTATTAACGACATTAATACTTATATTTAAAAAAATACAGAAATTAAATTAATTTTTGTGTTCTTGAGCACATGGAATAGAAATATGTATAAATATCATTGGTTACTAAGCTTTGACACTACATTTCAAGTCCGACTAGTTCCGGTCAATGATTTGCATCTTCTTAAATCAAGACAGTGACATCACATCTCCTAAAAATGTACAACAATTAAACTAAAAATCTCAGGGGAGCAAACAATTAAAGTCGATTAAATTAAAAGGACTGTTTGCGTTGTTAAGATTGCATATATTAATCTTCACTGAATCATCAGTCATGCTCTTTAATAAATTTGAGTTCTTTTGTTAAGTTACCTCCTAATCGTCCTTCTTTAAACTGTAAAACTATTCAATTATATTTTAATGTTATGATAGACTTTTTTGCCAAGAAAAACCTTTCATTTCTCTTATATTAAACAACCGCCGATATTGAGACGAAAACTGGACGCAATAATCAAGAGTTGGATATACAGAAAAGGTGTCCAAGGTAACGCGTAAAATCTACGATAAGAACAGAAGTCTACCATTGGTAATAATCTTTAAATGAGACCTAAAATCATGTTGATAATTTTGCTCCTCAGTTAACTCCCCAATTATCCGCCGTTATTACTTTTATGTACTTCTCTTTATTTACTTCTATCAGCTACACGGCGCTCTATAAATATTATGTCTTTTCACTTGGAGCTCAAATGTATGTTTCTTTGCATTTGTCAACAAAAACAAGCTTGGAATTCCTTTCTTCACGTTCATAGTCGTATACTCTGGAATGAGGGTCTTGTTTCGTTGCCCAATGTCACCAGCGAGTTCTTATTTCGTGCAACAAATCAGTTATGGATGCCATATACATAAATCTGGAAGGACATCGGCTCTGAAACATGTTTATGTCACCACGGTACTGAGATTGGCTGTTGTGCTAAATGCTATTATTACTTTCTACAGCCTAGTTAAACTATTACCATTGCATTTTCTTTATGCAACACTTAACACACTAGGACACTTAACGCAATTTTTAATTATCATGGGAAAGTGCTAAGCTATTACGACTTAATAGAACTTGGAAGGGGTCAAGATAAGGATTTGGAATGGGACGGGGGGGGAAGGAATGGTGCCCAACAATTTAGACGGTCGGGGATTGAACGCCGACCTGTATAAAGCACGACCGTCGTTCTACCGTCTAGTCAAAGTGGCTGGTTTTACACCAGCTTCTCGCCGTGTTTCACCAATCAGGACGGTGTATTTGCGTTGAGGCTGAAGCATATGAAAATGTGTTGCATGATATGAACTGCAGAAAACCAGTTCACTTGTATTTTGTATTTCCTTCTATATGTTGTACGTTGTATGTTGTACGACGTACAAGGCACGACGAAATTATTAAATGGCGTCTCTACACAGACCAGTGTCTATTAGAGAACCCTATTGTCCAATGTCCGGGGAATTTTCTCTCGCTGCTGGTTGCCCAGATTGGATTGTACTGTGCCACTGACACCAACATTAACTTCACTTCTCTTCTGATCAAGCCTATTATGCTACTCCCACAGGAAATAAACATGTCTAGTAAATACATGGAATAAGACCACGGGAACAAATTTGTCCAACTCGGATCAGAGATGCATGGCTCTGGGGTAAAATCGTAAGAGGTTTACTATGGAATTTAGGTTCCAGCCACATCGAAACTACAAGAGTCTCTAGGACTGCCGTATTCCGTTCCTGCTTCTTAGTGTGAGTATATATAGAGAAAATATTCACTGCATCCTCAGTTCCTTTACGACATCTGAGGAGATCGAAGAAATCTACAACTTTTCATACTTTGATATTTGTATTGTCCTTTTTTGAAAACTAATAGATTTTGTGTGATAAAATACTTAACAAAGTACATAACTTTGATTAGTGTTAACAGAGAAGAAAAATATTCAAATGAATAGTTGGGATCTGACATATTTTCCTCGAAAGTTATTATGCCATTTATCCTTTCTCCAAAGTTAGGGATCCTCCCAAATCGAGCCACACTAGGGCCTTATGCGACCAGATGAATTCTGTTTTCGCTGTTACCTCTGTTCAGTTTAACTTCCAACGCCTTTGCAGTAGAGCAACATTATTGTACAAAAGGACTTAAACTTTATTTTCCTCCAGATTCCTTCCAGGTTCTATATTTCCCTCATCTCTTTATATGAGAGTGATGAAGTCCCCTTTATCACTCATATAAACTGGAAACCTCAGCAGTTGGACTAATACCATTTCATTCATAAGGATCATTGTCGGCTCGAACATGGGCCCCAGAGTTTGTGACCACCGTCCTACCACGGATGCTCTGATCTAACTAAAGAAGAATTTCAGAGGAACTAAACTGATAATCGCGTTAGACTTAATGGCAGTCTCATTCTCGGGAAGGGCAGAGACTACTGGGTAGCTTCGTGAATACAAATAACATCGATTGAATAATACTTTTATTATTTGCACGACTCGAACTCCAAGGATTTTTCTCATAGTGGTAATCAGATATTCTCAAGCAAAGCCTAATACGCCTTTTGAAACTTGTGATGCATTATTTAATTGGAATAGGGATCTCATAGCAAGAAGATCTGAATGGTAACAATGTCATCTGACCAAGGGCATACTTTCTCCAGTGTATATAAATACTCCGTTAGATCAAGTGTTAGTACCAGTCTCACAGACACCATCATGATGAAGTTTGTAAGTACTTCGCACTCTTCACATAGGCGGAGGATTTTTCCTTTTCTTTTTATCATTCCACTCTTTGTTTTAATAGTTCAAAGCCTCACAAACGAACTGTTAAACTTTGTTTATTCTGAATTTCGTCAAAACAATATTGAAGTCAAATGTATGCATGTTTGAGTGTGTGTAAACTTTTATGTGTGTATTTTTTAAGCAACAATCCGTAAATCTTTCATCACAGGTGATCCTCGCTGCTGCCGTGTGCGCTGTGGCCTTCGGTGCCCCCAGGGCCTCACACTTAGCTGCCTCCGAAGCCTCAGTCCCGTCTGACCACAATACCACAGTTGTGCCCATCCTTGAGGACAAGCGCACAAACGACAACAATGGAACGTTTACCGTCAACGTGAAGACTGGCAACGGTATCACCATGTCCAGGTCTGGCTCTCCCTCCGGTACAAACGGTTCTGTGGTCCAGACTGGAGAATTTTCGTGAGTAATAATAATAATAATAATAATAATAATGATAATAATAATAATAATAATAATAATAATAATAATTTTTCATGAATTAATGTTTTTTCGTCTACCTAACCTACCTAACCTAACCTAACCTAGCTTTTTTGGCTACCTAACCTAACCTTACCTATATATATAGGTTAGGTTAGGTTAGGTAGGGTTGGTTAGGTTCAGTCATATATATACGTTAATTTTA